CCCTCCTTCCTCAGCTGGGGCATGCTGGCAGCTAGGGCGTGGGTGGAGAGCCCAGAGACAAACTTCTCACAGTTCCAACACTGAGGGAGTTTTGTAACATCTTCCAGTGGGACTGGGTTTTTGTAGACTTCTTGGTAAGAAGACATGCAAATGAAGGTTACACTGGTGGGGAGCGGGCTTAGGGTGAGGAGAAACTTCAGATCAAACCAAATCCTCTTCTCCCCTCCAAGCCACTGGGAGTTTCTAATTCCTGAAAACTGTACAATGTTTCCTGGGGGACTCACCCTCCCTGAGGAAGTTAGCATTGATGTGCATCCCCTATCCCAGGGGTGATGCTATTTCAGCACTGAAGGGCTCTGGCAAGGGTGCCCAGCTCAGTGTGGGGGCCTCTGGAAGCTTCTGACAAAGCAAGGGGGAGCAAACAAGGGGGATAAAGAAGGCCCTGAGGAAACTGGTTCACCTTTCAGTATGCTGCTTGCCTGCTCATTACCTTGCTCTGGTTCTCTCTCCCCTTTGAAAAGAAATCAAAAGTTCTTCATGTGGCTTGGGAGCACCGGGTCTTCAGTGTTCAGGGTTCAAATCCTGGCTCTACCACTTATGTGCTGTGTGATCTTGGACAAGTTAGTCAACTTCTCCGAATGCTTCAACCCCTTTAATAAAGCACTCCATACCTCAGATGGCTGTTTTGAGGCTAAAATGAAAAAAACAAAACAAAATGTAGGTAAGATGGTTGTACACAACCCAATAATGTGCAGTCAATAAATAGAACAATCAAGACAAATTAAAATATTTTTATTACCAGCTTACCACTCTGCATCTCAGCTCACTTCCCAGAATGCAATTATCTACAGAGATAAAATTGCTTGCCACCTTAGACATTGTGGCCTCCCATGCTTTTGTGGGCTTTTCAGCACCTGGCACATAGTAGATACTCAATATTATCTGCAAAACAGATTTATCCAGACCTTCCTTAGAATTCCCTTTACACCTTTCTGCACCTGGCAAGCTCAGCTTAGAGAGGCCCCTGCTTCGGACAGGACACCTTATACCCCCAGGTGGCTCTCGTCCACAGCACGCTGAGCACACAGGCTTCATGGTACTGAATGCTACTAAAGCTGTTTTCATGCCTTTCCTCCCCTTGGGACCATTAGCTCTTCTAAAAAGGAGCCTCGTCGAAAGCATATTTGCATTCCCAATGCCTGTACATGGTAGGTGCTTGATAAATGATCAGCCTGAGCGAGGCCAGTCACATGCCTCCAGGCTAGGAACCCACAACCCAAACACCTCCCAGGACCCACTGACTTTCCAGGTAGATTCAGACAGATGCAAGTTTCCAGCTGGTTTGGCCAACAGTCAGCCAAACCCACTTTCCCCTCCTTCTTAGTCAAACCCTGTCCCCCCCGCCCCTACACGGGCTAAAAACGGAGGAAACTGGAGAATAGGGAGCCTCTTGAAATTCTTGTTCATCAAAGCTATCCTGTTTTGTGCTTCAGAGCACTGGTGTCATCTCCACCTGAACTTGGTCACCTGGGGATAGAAAATGAGGAACTTGGTGACCCAGGAACCTGGGGTGCGGTGAGGGGCACAGTGAGGTCTGCTCCACAGACCTAGGCATCAAGGGAACTGGCACAGCCTCCATCATGCAGCTGGCAAGAATCACACGATTGTTTTTGTGCCATTCAGACATTAGATTAAGGAAGGCAGGAATGATGTACTACCCAGTCCTTTCCCGTGGTTTTACTTTATTTATTTATTTATTTGACAGAGAGAATGAGCAGGAAGAGCAGTAGGCAGAGGGAGAAGCAGGCTTCCCACAGAGCACAGAGCCCAATGCAGGGCTTGATCCCAGGACCCTAGGATCATGAGCTGGGCCGAAGGCAGACACTTAACCGCCAAGCCATCCAGGCACCTCTCCCCATGATTTTAGAACAGATCTGTCTCTAGATGCTAATATGGTTCCCCTGGGCTTACTCGGAGGAGCTCAACAGGTTAGAGGGAACTAGGCAGCAACCATCCCACTAGAGTCCCTGAGGGGCCAGAATTTTTCTGGCCCAGGGTCAAAGAGGGGGACGGGGGTCTGTCTGGCTTACACCAGGCTCTTAGGCAACAATGCAGACTGCTGGCTAAAGCCTGGGACTAGGGAAGGCAATGCTGTCAGCATCCCCTGTTGGCCCATTAGGGAGAGGTCCACTGGGGGAGGCACTGGGAGGGTCCCAAGAGGCACACCAGATTGCTTTGCCCAAGGAGAAGCTGTGCTGGGTGGCGGTGTTCCCCTTCCTGGGCAGAGGTCGAAGCCTGTTCCTTCCCTTAGAGCAGGGATTTATAGCTGACTCGAAGTTCTAGGAGGATAGTCTTAAGCAGGGGGTAAAAGGACAGTTTTAGGAAGGAAAGACTGGCTCACAGTGGTAGAGGCTGGCACACCTGTTGCTCTCCCAAGGCCTAAAACACCAGTTCTCAGGTCCCTGCCTGGTACACAAGCCCGCAAACGAAGCCCTGTGATTCCTCAGGATTCCCCGCATCTGTACCGTTCACTTCATCTCAATCTACCTCCTCTTGCTGACCATTTCACACTGGTGTTTTGTCTTCCTGCCTGTAACCCAAGTTCCAGAGGGCACGGACCTTGTCTTCTCTACTTCTTTTACATTCTCCTCAGCACCCAGCTCAGTGTTGGACACACAGTGGGAGACTCAATAACACATGTTTTGTGTATCGAATTCCAGGGCCCATCCAAATTTCTATTATTTTTTTCCCTAAAGATTTTTATTATTTTGGGGGTGCCTGGATGGCTCAGTGGGTTAAGCATCTGCCTTCGGCTCAGGTCATGATCTTGGCATCCTGGGATCGAGTCCCGTGTCGGGCTCCCTGCTCAGCGGGAAGCCTGCTTCTCCCTCTGCTCCCTGCTTGTCCTCTCTCTCTCAAAAAAAAAAAATTAAATTAAATTAAAATTAAGTAAAAATAAAAGATCTCACGGAGTGCTTGCATTCTTTCAAATGCTATTTTAGCTTCCAGGTGTCTGAAAGAACTTGTTTCTGCTTTTCTTTGCATCTGATTTTTTTAACCTATTTGTGGGATTTTTTTTTTTTTTTTAAAGATTTTATTTATTTATTTGACAGACAGAGATCACAAGTAGGCAGAGAGGCAGGCAGAGAGAGAGGAAGGGAAGCAGGCTCCCCGCCGAGCAGAGAGCCCGATGCGGGACTCGATCCCAGGACCCTGAGATCATGACCTGAGCCGAAGGCAGCGGCTTAACCCACTGAGCCACCCAGGCGCCCTATTTGTGGGATTTTACAAAGTATTCCAAACCTCAGAAATATATCCTTGGCAGAGAGAGGTTTGGGGAGGGGGCTCCCCAAACCCTCAGGACAAAGTGTGGCCTCAACAGGACTGCCCCCCACCTCGCCCTGGGCCCCGCAGGCTCCCCTCAGGTCAAGGGGCTTGTTCTCCCCTGCAAGGTGCCTTCTCGCAGCCTGTGTAGAGAAGGGAGTAGGGCCTGCAGTCAGGAATCTTGGGGTACAGCCTCCTGAAGTCTGAGGGAAGCGGGGAGAAAAGAACAAGGTGTGCAAGAAAAAAGAACAGTCGCATTTTGGGGATCGATTTTATTTGGGCTTCTCACAGTGGTTACAGCCACTCTGTCTTCAGAACAATCACAGCACAGGAAATGCGTCACCGAGACTGCCCAGAAAGTCTGACCAGCGGAATCTTATTGCTTAAAATACACATATTCACAACAAATGACAAATGGTGATGTGCCTCACACAGGAATGTGTTAGCATTTGCAAATCTTCCGACTGTAGCACCAAACCCTCAGCCAGACCAACCCCTTCTTTCTCGTTCACGGGGAAAACCAGATTCAGTCCGATCTCCCTGGCCCCCTATCCAGTCCTCCTGCTCTCTCTTTCCATCTCTCTCCTGGCAGGGGAGTCCCACTGGCAGGGGTCAGACTGTGTGACCACTGGAAACGAGCCTGGCTCCGGCAGCTGCGTTCACTTGTTCTCATGCCTGGAGGGCAGGACACCGCAGTGACCCCAACAGCACGCAGACCCGCGCCCCACTCCAGCCGGGGAAGGAAACATGAGAGGACCAGGATTCATCCATGTGATCAGTTAACTGAAGCAGGATTCATTTTGGTAAAACTTCATCTCCTCTGAGACTTCAGTGAGTTGTTTGGGATTTTTATCTTATTATTATTATTATTTTATTTATTTATTTTTTTAAAGGTGGAAGGCAAGGCATCCGAGGGCTGCTGACGCACTCCCACCCACTCTTGCCACACGCCGGCTTGCTTGCGTGCACAGGGCCCCGGCAAAGAGAGGTAAGCCCTGTGGCACTGCGGCGTCTGCCAAACTGTCCTGGCGATTCTGGGCGGGGCCAAGAGCTGGGCCACAGCTAGTCCCAGCTTGTCACTGAAGATCCATCCAATCCAGCTTCGGAAGTCCCACCTTCGCCTTCTGTGCCGAGTGGTTTTGAACACCCCGCTGGGGGCTGATACTGAGGGCCAGGAGGAGCCGAGGGAGGCAGACAGGTTCAGGGCACATTTCCACTTACAGGGGAACAAAACACAGGCCTCCGAGTGTCCACGGAGCAATGTGCAAATTGCAGGGCTGGGTAGAGGAGAGCCTCTACTCCGAGCACAGTTATCTCTGGCAGACGTCGGGGTGGGGGTGGGGGGTCGGGGGGGCTGCCATTGACGATGCTGCTGGATACACCCGAGTACACAGTCAGACATTTGTTCAGTAAACAGTAAATGTGTAAAATAAATTACCTTGAGAGGGCCATATCTGCTCCAAGCGTGTGGTTGACGTGAGCACAATGGCTGCCGTTCAAAGTATATTCACAGGAGAACAGGGCTGGGGGCTCACACACGAGACACAGACACACACAGGTTATCCAAAAAGTCATTGTACACAGACTTCACTTTGTTCAACATGGATTTTGGTTTTGTGGACTCCAAACGCAGACACTCGTTCACCTCACAGCCTTGGATTTGTCTATTTTTGTACATATATATATATTTTTTCCCTTTCTTACTGTAACATCAACGCCTAATGTGAATATCATCGTTCAAGAGTGGGGGGAAAACCAAACTCTTCGTATAAACAGCACTGGACAGGGAATGTGAGTTTTAGCTCTTTGCTTTCTCCATCAGGTTATTCCTATCAAAGCTTGACTGGTCATCTGAAGCCAAACCACAGTAATAAGGATCCCACGGTCCTTCCGGACCCCTGCCTTCGCCCTCCTACCTGGGCCACTCAGGCTCTTTATGGAGGCTACAAAAATCAGTCAGCCCACTCAAAAAGGGGGCTGCGGAGGGGTAGGGGAAGGGCATGAAAGCCACAGATAACCAAGCCATTTTTTTCCCAAGTGGTCAGTTTAAAAATAAAAACAAAAACAACACAACAGAAGAACTTATTCAGAATAAAGAGAAAATACTGTGTAAAAGCCAGGCCATGGGGCTGCCCTTTCTTAGGACCCACAGCCCTGCAGACTGTGTGTTGGGTGGGGAGAAGACCCTGGTCACCTACAGGCACAGCCCGAAGGGTAGAGATGCGGCAACTACACCAGATGCTCCCCCACGGCTTGGGCTCTGCTGTGCTCCCACAGAAGTTCCGAGAGAGCCCCCACCCAAGCCTGCACACAAAACATCTCCTCCCGGCTCAACAGCAGCCAGGCTCTTTGAAGGTCAACTTGGGATAGAGCCACAAACTTCCCTTTTCCAGAACAGAATTCTTGCCGGCCCGCTGGTCAAGTTCTTGTTTTCAGCTTGCTGTTGCTGTTACTGTTGTTGTTGTTTAAGGAAAAACCAAAAAGAAGGTGATAGAATGTTCCACCCTGAGCCAGGCTGTGGCCAGCCAGAACCTGCTGGGAAGGGCCCCTCATGGATGCACAGTGGTACATCGAACCTCATGACCAGGAATTTGAGGGAGCAGTAGGCCTCCTACCAACCTTGTTAACTGCCTGTCTGCTCTCATCCTCCCCCAGGACTAGCCTAGTTCTGTCTCGGCAGACCTTGACAGCAAAGGGTGACAATCCCTGGGCCTCTGCGGGCTTCCTTCTTCACCCAGGGCTGAGCCCTGCCACCTCTCCTGGACTGAGACACAGAGAAGTTCTCTTAAACCAAACACCAGAGCACAAATCCACTCCACCACCAAGAGTCACCTCAGGGCACAGTCTCGGCCTCCTCCGTGGGGGCCTCTGAAACACACATCTCTCTGACCCGGGCAGGTAGCGAGATACGACTCGAAAAGAGAAAAAGGGGACAGGGTCGGGTATGAGGAATGAGTCAGAGAACGAGCCACCCTGTCGGCCCTCCACGACACTGTGCTCCTGTGGGCGGAGAGGCCTCCGCTCCCCAAGCGGTACCTGGAGGTGCGGGAAAACGCAGGACCGGCGGGGCGGGGGCGAAGAATGCAGTGGCGGCACCACTTTCTCTGAAAGTCATTTAATGCTTCTCTCCTGCTGCTCCCCTACCCTGGTTGCTTTGCCAAGTTCTCCGGCACGGGCCGGGCCTGCTCTAGCTGGGGGAGCTGCTGCTCTGCGAGTTCGGGGAGTCCTGCTCATTGATGGTATTCAGCAGCAGGCACGCGGGGGGCCGTGGCAGGTGGGGGTGCCCGGGCTCTCGGGCCTGCTCCTCGGAGGGCTGGCAGAGGCCTTCCTCCTCGTCACCGGGGGGCCGCACGTGGCAGCTGTCGCAGAAGTCCAGGGGCCCATCCAGAGCGTCGTCAATGAGTGTGTTGAATTCCTTGAGATCGTCATCATGGTGGCCTCGGCTGCACACACACACCTCAATGCCCGAGTCACCCGTGAAGCGGCGATGTCTGCCGGGCGTCTTGTCTTTGCTATCGGGGAGGGCGCCGCCCTGCTCAGAGCTGTAATCTCTCAGCAGCTCCTCCTTACAGTCGGAATCTTTGTCCAGGAAGGCCCCAGGGTCCAGCTCCCCCAGGCCGGCCACAGAGCCACTGGGCTCCATTCCAGGGGCTTTGGTGGCTGCTGTGCTGGCGGGCACGTCAGAGGGCTCAGGGTCAGCGATGCTCGGAGGTCTGGTGCTGCTTCTGCTGGGCCCAGACAAGGGGCTGCTCTGCGCCCCCTGGGGACCCCTGGTGGGATCGGCGCCTGGGGGGCTGCTGCCAGGGGGGCCACACTGTGCGGGCAGCTGCTGCTGCTGTAGCTGGAAGGCACTGTACGGTGGGGGAGGAGTCGGAGGTCGGTTCACCACTTCCTCATAAGGAGGTAGTAAATAGTTTGGCAAAAACCCTAAAACGGGGAGGCAGGGAGGAGAAATTACTGCACTGGCAATTGTTCGAGAACAGCCTGCAAAGCTCACACTCACCGTAGGTCTCTTCCCACCCCCAGTACACCCACAGGGGAGCAGGGGCTGGCTCCAGCTCTTGCTCATGGGCAGGGCACAGGGGTGTGGCGATTTTGTGCAGAAAGAGGGACAGACTGGGAGTGACCTAATCTAGCTCCATGAAATCCGAGATCCCCTGAAGCTGCTTCACAGGCAAGACTTCTGCCCGTCTGGAGGTAAGGCAGAGGGTTAGGCAAATGGGGGGGTGGCCAGGAGATCATTTCTGCCCAGAGCGTATCGGTTTCCACATGCCCCGGAGTCTCATGTTTCTTGCTCAAACTGTGTCCTCTGCCTGCGTCCCATAGGCCTTAGGGTTAGGGATCCTAATTTAAGACTCCCTGACTGCCTTTTTCTTGCCCGCCCCCCCTTCCACATGTATGGGCCATGAAAAGGCCCTTTTCTGGGAGGTTGGAAATCTGTGCTGTCCCTCACTTGACTGTGGCTGGAGCTGGTCTAGAAAGACAAACCTAACTTCATCCTGACTCAGATTATAAGCCGGTGGGTTACCAGTGAAGGGTGAGGGGCCTGCCAAGGCTTATTATCAGCCTGCCAGGTAAGTTATCTTTTGAATGTGCTGAATGTCTCAGGGAACACATGGTCTGGTTATAATAAGAACTGCTAGCATTTATTGAGCACTTACTATATGCCAGGCACTGAGCTAAACACTTAAAACCCTTCTAGATGTTCCAGACCTGTGAGCACTTTATTCTGTAGAACACATGGCAGAATGGTTTTAGGACAAGATGGACCTCCCTGGACCCTTTGAGGGTCATGTGTAAGGAACCCTCAGGGAAGTCAGGTGAGTGTCCTTCAGGGAGTCACTGAAGTTTCTCGGTTCCCGGGACATGCCAGCATGACCCCCCCACCTCCTGCCCCTTTCATGGGAGCTTTTGCTCAGGGATGTCACAGGGCACTAAGTAAAATGGGAGAATTTCAGGCCACAGGCATCTAAATCTTGGTTCACTCACATCGTACACCATCTGACCACCTGCCTTAAGGAAAGCATCAGCTAAAGCATCAGACACCCGGTCAGAACCCAGCCAGGGTGGGGCTGAACAACCCAGTGGCTTCAGGCTGCCCCGCCCACAGCACCAGCTCCTCTGTGCTACAGGTGAGCGCCCCTTGACTCCCCGACCTGTGCCACTCCGCACTACGCTGGGCGAGGGGGCCCGGGGGGCCCACGGTCTGGCAGCTTTGGGTATACGTACTGAAATAAAAGGGCAGCGCTGAGTAATTGTGGGCTTCCCGGTAGGCAATCAGGTTGATTTCATGCTGCCGCTGCTGGGCCTGAAGGCGATGCTTGGCTCGGCGGTGGTGGCACACACAGCAGCAGCTCAGGATGATGATGATGGTCCACACCAGCCAGAACCCTGGGGGCAGGGAGGCGGGGCAGAGAGGCACACAGGCGCCGTGAGCACCAGCCAGAGCAGTGGCTTTCCCAACACAGCAGTCCCCAGACGGCGCCCACCTGGTCGAAGCTGGCACTGTCAGGCCTCCCTGGGTGAAGCCACATTTGGAACCCGTGTTCAGTTTCTAGAAATGTTCGTGCCCGAGTGAAAGATGGGATGGGAGAGGGCACTCTCGCCACTGAACCTAGGTTTCAGGTTTGGCGAGCATTAAATATGCTCACCTTTTAGGACAACATCTTCGTCCTCTCTTAAGGGATCTCTGAGATAATGATTCTGGCTTTCTGGTTACCCATCTCCCACCCCTCCCCCAAGCCCTGCTCAAGACCTTAAGGCCACCTCCCAGCCTCGCTTCCTGCTACTACCCCAGGCTGCTCACCAAAAGCAAAGGGCCCCTCAAAATCCCAGCAGATTAGCAACTGCAAGGGGCCTTATGGGGTCTCCTGATAAAGGAATTCTTAGGGTTCTCTTGATATCACCAAAAAGATCATGGGTTCTTCTCTACCACGTACACTGGTATAACCCAAGAGTCACTCAAGTTACAGGTGGAAAAATTCTAATTGCCTCAGGTCCATCTCTTCCCTAGAGAGTGTAAATGACTTCCTCTGCTCATGATATAATCTGGTATAATTCCATCTCCTACAGTTGCAAATAACACTCCCACCTCCCTTTGGGCTGTGATTTCATTAGACTCAGGGCCATTAGCAGGCTGCCCCTCTTCCTTCTTGCTCCAGAGAGGGGTAGGTAAGGGAACAGGGGAGAAGGCCCACAGCCCTCTCTTCTGCAGGCAGATTATTTTTTTCTCATTTTCCACTGTATTCTTGGATCATACTCAGAGAATCTTGACAGACCCCAATACAAGACTCCCGCTCCAATCTTCAATTGTAAGCAAAAAATCCTTTAAAATTTTCTTAAATCAATGAGCAATTCTGCTGTTAAAAAAATACATATATATACATATGGAAGAGACTGGAAGGAAAAACACAAAAAATAGTGACTTATCTTTAAATAGTGGGATTATGAAAAATTTCAGGTTCTGCCTTCAAATTATAAAACTGGAAACAAACTAAATCAAACTTAAAAATACCTATGACTAGGGGCACCTGGGTGGCTCAGGTCATGATCTCAGGGTCCTGGGATGGAGCCCCACATTAGGCTCTCTGCTGAGCAGGAAGCCTGCTTCCTGCTCTCCCACTGCCCCTGCTTGTGTTCCCTCTCTTGCTGTCTCTGTCAATTAAATAAATAAAATCTTTAGGGGCGCCTGGGTGGCTCAGTGGGTTAAAGCCTCTGCCTTCGGCTCAGGTCATGATCCCAGGGGACTCTCTGCTCCGCAGGGAGTCTGCTTCCTCCTCTCTCTCTCTGCCTGCCTCTCTGCCTACTTATAATCTCTGTCTGTCAAATAAATAAATAAAATCTTTAAAAAAAAATCTTAAAAAAAAATAATAAATTTTTAGATAGGTTTTGAAATTCCTCTGGGAATGTACTCACATAATGAAATGACATGAATCATTAAAAAATATTCACAGAATACTACTTCTGACATATAAAGATGTCTCTAGTATTAGAATGAAAAAAGCAAATTACAAAACAGTATAAAATATAATCCTACTTTTTTTTCTTAAAAAAAAAAAGCACACATTAACATCTAGAGGGATGGTTAGGAAAGTAATCAATGGGCTATTTCTTTAAGACAGAACAGTAGAGTTTCTGGTACCAGATCCCTTTTTTTTTTTCTCTCTAATCTGTATTTCTTTTTATTTTATTTTATTTTATTTTATTTTATTTTTATTTTATTTTATTTAACAGAGAGAGAGAGAGAGAGAGAGAAGCAGGCTCCCCGCTGAGCAGGGAGTTCAAGGAGGGACTTAATCCCAGGACTTTGGGATCATGACCTTAGCCGAAGGCAGATGCTTAACCAACTGAGCCACTCAGGCACCCCCATTTCTAATTATTCCAAGATGAACATATACTTCTTTGAAATAAAAAGAATCCTTTTTTCTCAATAAAAAATTTATCTGAGGAATAATTTTAAGGTGAGTTGTTACTAAGTGAGAACAGATGGTTGCTCATTTGTTCTCTATTCCTGAATAACTTCAATTTTTTTCCCATTACCAATGCTACATGTATTTTTTTACTACCTGCTTTGTAATTATAAATTTGTGGTTAGAATTCAAGTATTTCCACGTGTCTCTTGTCAGAATCATTTTGTCAATCAAATGTCAAGATCATTTTTTAAAAAAGAAGAAAAAGCCCCGGGACACCTGGCTGGCTCAGTCGGTGGGGCATGTGACTCTTGATCTTGGGGTTGTGAGTTCAAGCCCCACACTGGGTGTAAAGCTTACTTAAAAAACAAAACCAAACCAAACCCACATTTCCCTCACACAGCCTTATATAGGAATAGTCCTCTGATTTTTTTTTTCTGTTTGTACAAGAATACAATTTTCTAAAAGATCGCACTGACATTTAGGGTGTGGGCTCGGGCAATGGCTTTTTCTGTCCCCCAGGGGTGTCCCTGGACACTCTCCCCACAAAGCCACCTCTACAGAATGAGACGGGATGGCAGTGCAGCCGTCTGGCCCTGGCAGGCTGGCAACACCACTGTAGGGCTCCTGACTGCTCTAAGCCCGTGTCAGTGTGCACTGGAACCTTCTGCAGAGGCCTGGCAACAAGAGGACAGGCAGCAGATTTCGTCCCTTTATCCCTTGGCAGACAGAAAAACCCCAGTTCCTGGCTGGTTCAGTCAGTAGAGCCTAGGTGACCCTAGGTCTCAGGGTTATGGGTTTGAGACCCACATAGGGTGTAGAGGTGACTTAAAGATAAAATCTTGGGAAAAAAAAATAATAAGATCTGACCAGAGAACATGTATGTTAAGTTGAAGTCAGAAGTCTCCCTTGTGGTTCTTACCAGATTTGCTGTGGACCTTTGCTTAATTTCACCGACATTTCTCTCCTGTGGCTGCTGGCTGACTGAGGACTAGATAAATACTGTCACAGGGGCCCTCCAAAGTGGGGCTGAGGCCAGAAAGGAGCTCTGGGAGCCAAGTGGCTCCCTGTTGCTGTCCTGCAGCAGGCAGCACAGATAAGCACGCTGCGCCCGGCTCCAGATCTATCTGAGAGTCCTGTCTAAGCGGTTCTGAGCTCACCACTCTTCCATGGTCCTGCATTTCTCTCACTTGCCCAGCATAATCTCACAGTCCTTCGTACCTCTGTCGTGTTCAAATTCGAAAAAGTACATTCTCCCGAGAGATGACTGCATCTGACTCGACTAGTTTTTACCTCCCAAGTCATTTTTTCAGTAGTTTCTTACCTAAAGGTAAACCAACTTTTAACTTTTATGCTGCAAGATAAGCGATCGAGGGGCAATATTTCTCATTTTATAACATGATTTTCTTCTCTTTTTTAACGTTTTGTTGTTGTTTTTGTTTGTTTGGGGTTTTTTTGTTTTTAAGTAAACTCTACCCCCAACATGGGTCTCAAACTCACAACCCCGTGACTGAGAGTGGGACTGCTCTCCCAAAAGAGCCAGCCAGGCAGGATTTTCTTTTTAAACACGCACTTTTGGGGCACCTGGGTGGCTCAGTGGGTTAAGCCTCTGCCTTCGACTCCGGTCATGATCCCAGGGTCCTGGGATAGAGCCCCATATCGGGCTCTCTGCTCAGCCCGGAGCCTGTTCCCCTCCCCGCACTGCCTGCCTCTCTGCCTACTTGTGATCTCTGTCTGTCAAATAAATGAATAAAATCTTTTAAAAAATAAATAAATAAACACACACTTTTAAGGAGAAAAAGCTCAGGTACTAATTCTCATGTTGGCCACATATTTCTGGTTTTCCCCTTCTGGGCATTTGGGTAGGCTTGACCTTCATGGCTCCCTTATGATTGGGCACAGCTTCGGGATTGGTTCTAACTAACGAACAAGGGTTGGAAGTGACTTCTGTCACTTAGAGACCAGGATATCTCTTGTTTATGTAAGACCTTCCTTCTTTAGTCCTCCTTCTACCGTGACAGTCAGCATTATTCCAGACACAGACTTCGGGATCAGTCTGGCATCAGGATGATGAGGTGGGAACCAAGCTCCCATCCAACCTGCGATGGACATAGAGTGTGAGAGGTAAACACGTTGTTTCTGGCCACTCAGCTGGACTTCTCTGTCACTAAGCTTGACCTATAACCTATCCTGACCAACACGGTGTCTTTATAGGCTTTTCTGAGGGAAAGGATTGAAGCTTTCATTAGAGTTTTAAGGGAATTCTTGTTCCAGAAAAAAGGCTGAGATCCACCGAACTGGAAGTATAATAGAAAAAGAGAGGTTTGGTTGTTTTTTTGGTTTTTTTTTTTGTTTTTAAAGGAAAAATTAGGCAGGGCAGAAAGAGACTGGGGGAAGAAATGAGACAACTGGAATACACACCCTTGGCAAGACTGCCTTAGTCATAGCTAAGAGAACCACTCATGTGTTCATTGAAACTCCACCACCTTACTTTTTAACACTGTATTATGGGTAGAAAAACTCTCCCCACTATGTGCCAGTCATATGATGTTATATTTATCTAAGTCTCAAACTAAGTTCTAATTTCATTTCTTTTTTTTTTCTTAAGTTTTCATTGATTTATTTATTTATGTAATCTAACCTCTAAACCTAATGTGGGGCTCAAACTCACGACCTTGTGATCAAGGGTCACATGCTCTTCCAACTGAGTCAGCCAGGTGCCCCTAATTTCTTCCTTTTTTTTTTTTTTAAAGATTTTATTTATTTGTCAGAGAGAGAGGGCACATGAGCAGGGAGAGTGACAGGCAGAGGGAGAAGCAGGCTCCCTGCTGAGCAAGGAGCCTGACCTGGAACTTGATCCTAGGACCCTAAATCATGACATGAGCCAAAGACAAATGCTTAACCCACTGCACCACCCAGGAGTCCGGTAATTCCTTCATTTCTAATATACTACAACAAAAGCTTATTTGTGTGGATCAAAACTGAGGGAAAACTAACTTGGAAAAAGAATGGGTCCAGTGGCAAGATGGAGTGTTAGCACAGGCCAGAAAAGACCCTTAATGAGTTGATCCCACTTGATGGAGTTAATGTGGAAAGGCAGAAAGCATTCTCGTCTGGGTCCCCACAAAATGGACCCTCTTGAAAGCCATTTTAGTCAAAGTAGTGTGTCCCACCAAGTTTAAAAGGGATTAATATCCAGACTAATCCCCTATGGAGTCCTACAAACTTTTGATCTTTTCCCTAGATCTTACAAACAAGGAACTAAGTTTAAAAAAGAAAAACCTAATGAAAGAGACACACAAAAGCACACCCTCTTCTTCCCCAAACACACACCTACCCAGAGATTACATTTCCCAATGACAACTTTGAACGCTGTGACCTCATGGCGGGGAGCATTTGTCATGCTAAGCAAAATAGAAAACATGTTTTGAAAAACAATCACAGCCCACTGTAGGAACTGAGTCATGTGCCCTGAGTTCACTATAAACTTGGGAAAATACCACTCCCCAAATGGGCAGGAAATTCCTCATTAGGAAGCCAAAGCACACTGTGAATTAGCTCTCCTACCCCACAGGATGGCGGGTGACCTCCCTGGCATCTTGCAGCACTTAGAGGAGCTTCTACCATTGCCACTATGGAAAAGGCCTGAATTCGGGAAAAGAAGCCCACGAAAGGCTTACAAGTTCATCTCAAAGACTGGACAAGCTTCTTAGAAGCACGACTGTAGATTACCAAAGAGAAGAGGCAGTGACCTGGTTCAGATCGCAGCTCACAAAACCACTGCCTAGCTTTGTGACCTTGGTCATTTTGTTTTCACTTCCCTCATCTGTAAAACAGGGAGAATAATGATTTCTACCTTATTGTCATTGTGAGGTCCAAATGAGTTAATACTCAGAACCACGCCTGACATATGGTAAGTTTCCTAGATTGTTATTACTACTGTTGTTACAGGTGTGACCACAGATGGGAAGGGTTTTCTTTCCATTTCTCTTTAAATTCTCCCCAAAATACTCCATTAAAAAAGCAAGGATGAGAAACAAGTCCAAGTCTGCTTCTAGGTTCTGTTCTTCGCTAAATTCATTGGAAAACCAGCCCGAGTGCTACTGATCAACCTATCCTTATCCAGAGAAGCCTGGAATTACAGGAACAGAGGTCCAATCACAGCTTAGAAGAAGGCCCCAGCCTTCCACTTTCCACTCTGCTAAGGGTGGCAAATGCTCTGAGCTTTTGTTATGAGCAACTCAACAATGGACATCTTAGGATAAGCTAAAAAGAAAAAGTTAGCAGGTGAAAAACAAGCAGGGCAGTCTCAAATGAATTTGTTCACAGTCTGTTTCATGCCACCTCAGGGGAATTCCACTGCCCAGAAATACTCCCTTCTCCCCAACTAAGGCCCAAACAAGGGAAAACTGATGCCTGAGCGAAGGTCCCTCAAATTATCTCAGGAGCAGAAATTCCCAGCTCCGAGCTCTCCCTGCACAATGTAGTGTGGTGAGTGGAAAGACTCTTGGATGAGAATCAGGAGATCCAGGTTCAGGTTCTTTGGCCTGAACATGTTGGTGGCCTCTCTCAATTGTGGTTTTCATCTTTGCTCAGCCTGTTCCATGAGGGGCATCCTCAGATGGGAATCAAACACACACAATGGAGACCCTCCATGACCAGGGCCCGTCACCCCCTCAGTCTGACACACAGAGTGCTGGAGGGGATTGCTTTGGAGTGAGGCGCACTGACCCAATCCGTCAGCTGCACCCAGGTGAACAGTTCCTTCACGCCCCCGGTCCTGACACACAGGGGTGACAGGCATACCTCACAGGTTTGTTCTTGATGTGCATGAAGACCTTTCTTGGTGTCTCGCATGTAACAGAGTTCCAAGCGCATTAGTACCCTCATCTCCCATTCTTTCCCAGACAAGCCCCGTGACCCCAGGGGAAAGGTCAATATCATGCACACTCTGTTCTTTCCCGTGGGGCCCTGGCCTACCGGGTTCCCTTGCCTGTGAAATCAGTCTACCCTTATTCCCATGTTTAAATCCTATCCACCCTTTAGCGCCCACTTCAAATGCCACCTCTTCCATGCAGCCTGCCTGAACCCTGCCTAGCCAAAGCAAACTGTCCTTCTGAACATTCATAGAAGTTCTGGTGCATATATTTCACTCTCTGCTTTGTCTCACCAGTGGGGCATCTTGTCTTATCTCCTCTCTCTGCTAGGAGACTCCCTGTTGATGGCAAGGATTATGCCTCTCTACAGTTACGAACACAGAAGGGGTCACAGCCTCAAGCAGGAGTTTTTCAGAACCGCAAATTCATAGGTCCACCTCAGACCTACGGAATAAAAAACTGGGAATAGGACCCAGAGATCCGTGTTTTAATAAGCCCTCCAGGAAATTCAGAGGCTTGCCAAATTTTGAGAACTCCTGGAATAAGGGTTTACAGAATGAATAAATGATTGAATAATGAATTAAAGGACAAGTGCCATAAAAATGTATGGGATAGTGGTGCCTGGGTGGTTCAGTGGGTTAAGCCTCTGCCTTTGGCTCGGGTCATGATCTCAGGGTCTTAGGATCAAGCCCCACATCGGGCTCTCTGCTCAGCGGGCGCCTGCTTTCCCCTCTCTCTCTGCCTGCCTCTCTGCCTACTTGTGATTTCTCTCTGTCAAATAAATAAATAAAATCTTTTTTAAAAAATTTTAAAAATTAAAAAAATGTATGGGATAACAGTAATGATGATGACCAGCTCTGATAGCCTCAGTGATAAAGCAGGACCTTTGCTTCCCATCTGACGCAGGCCTGGGAATGACTACTGCATTGGTTATGACTAAAAAGACATGGAGAAAGGGAGTCTGGGTAAGTGGTGTGTGTGCATGTGCATGCACGTGTGAGAAAGTCTTCGGTCTACAGAAGACTCAGCGCCATAGAGGTGAGCAGGTTGGTAGAAATGCCTTTTTTGCCTTTATCCCCTGAGGCCATCTCTGTAGGCAACTGTGGTTAAAGAGGTACTCTGACAGAAACTCTGCCAAGGATTTCCTGGCAGAGACTTTTTCTTCCAAAGGAAAGAAACAAAAAGAATAACACAAAGCCCATTATTTTCACATGTCAGGCAAAGTTTAGAGACAATTTGAGGGAAATGGGTTCAAAGTGACCAAAATTCAGTTCTGATAAGAACTGAAGGGGCTGGGGCACCTGGGTGGCTCAGTGGGTTAAAGCCTCTGCCTTCTGCTCAGGTCATGATCCCAGGGTTCTGGGATCGAGCCCCACATCGGGCTCTCTGCTCAGTGGGGAGCCTGCTTTCCCCTCTCTCTCTGCCTGCCTCTCTGCCTACTTGTGATCTCTGTCTGTCAAATAAATAAATAAAATCTTCAAAAAGAGAACTGAAGGGGCTTATCCCAACACTCATCTTCCCGCCTATCCACACATCAGGCAGAGGTCAAGACCCTGAGGAAGAGGAAAACCAAAGAATTACAGGGGGTGGTGTGGAACACTTGCTGGGCATCTCCTGACCAAGAACCCATTTCTGGGCACCAGTGAGGACAGTTTTGCTTTGACAATGTCCGTCCCTCCAGAACTTGGAAAGCATGGGCCACCTCACAGAATGGCGAGTCTTTCCTCCTCATCCAGACTCTGTTCTCTGGCCTCCTCCTTTCCCTGAGTGACCACAACCAGAGAGAGAATTAGCCACCCAACAGCTCCTCCTCTGGCTTTCTTTAAGCCCTTGGGTGAAGTGCCTGGTTCCCAGGCCGCCTCCCTGCCATTTGGGTCTCCCAGGCCCCACTGCCCGGCCCTGCTGCCCCACCCCGCCCCTGTCCCGGCGACGGTGACCCAATTCTGGTGGCTACTGAGCCTCTGCCAAAAGCCCAGGAGGCTCTGTCAATCTGAGATGAGGCCATCCACAACACCATGTTTCTGCAACTGATGCCGCCTGGGCTGGGCCCCAGAAAAACCAACCGCAGCTCTGTGGCCAGCTCCGACTTTTGTTTTAACAAGGGGTGGGAGGGAGAATTGGAGCCCTGCAGTTATCTGCATTTTAAAAACATTTAAACACAGTCTGTTCACCTGCTTGGCACTTTGTGTCCTCTAGGAAGTCCCTCCGCCCGACCGCTTCTAAAACAGCAACAATCCTGTGTTGCTTACATTCACGGAGGACTGGTATAGACACCCCAAGCCCTGTCTTCTCCTTGCAAAAGGACTGTACACTTGACTCCCCCTGGATTCCTTGGAAAGGCAGACGAGCCAGTCCTCAGTCCGCGAAAGGGAAGGATAAGGGGGAAGAGGGGTCCTTTCTGGAGGAACCACTCCCACTGGCTACAAGATACATTTACAGTCAGAGGGACAGACTGCCCAGCCGAGAGTCTAATTTCCTTTCCATACAAAACAATAGCCCTTCCAGCTGCCTACTGACCACATCACCAGTGTGCAGGGAGTGGGGAGATCATAGAGAAAAAGGGGAGAAAGGAAAAGGATGACGGGGCCAGGAAAGACACACTTTGACAAACCAGCCCAGTTTTTTTCCAAATGGAGGGAGTGATGAGGGCTTAGAACTATCTAGGGAAAGAGGCTACCATTTCTCCTCTCTACAGACAGGTGTGAGAACCAGCGTGCTGCTGGTCACCTAGGTACTCTCTGACCTAAGGATTCTCCTGTCCTCCCATTCTTTGTCCAGCATTCTGTAGTGTCTCATCCAAGCTTCGAGAAGATTCGAGTACAAAACAAGTTAGTGAATTCCTTGAACCTGGCTGGCTCCCTGAAGATTGTGCTGATGTCACCACCCTTGTGCAAGTCTGAAGGTGCACGTTCATGGCCTCAACCAAACCAGTGGTGAGATGAGGACTGTTTCCACACAGCAGTTAGCTGAGAGTAACAGGAGGAGATACACCGGAGAAGCAAACCTCCAGACATGTCAGCTTGAGCTCTGGGGAAGAGACAGAGGGGACTAAACTCTACAGTCTCCCTTGCTCCAGGAGGGCTCTGTGACAGGGACCCAGGGGAAGGTGATCCCTCTGACAGGGACCAGAAACAGAGGCAGCGCCTTGATGCTCTGTAGGGAATTCTGGAAGCCCTTAATGTTCTTACAAGAAAATGGCATTACAGCTATCTACAAAGACTAGCCTCGCATTCACAGTGGCTTGGCTGCTGTGACCTCTCTTTGCAAAGATGGCAAAGCCTGGGTGTCTGGGCTGGCCCAGGGAAGGACGTGAGTTGTCACTGCTCAGCACACACTGGAGGGGGCATCAGAGGGAAGCCCAGGCAAGAGCTTCTTCAGCAGATAGGGTAACCACAGCCTCTTCTGAAGGCTCAGACCATATTCTCTAGCCCCACCCCTTTTTTTTTTTTTAAGATTTATTTATTTGACAGACAGAGATCATAAGTAGGCAGAGAGGCAGGCAGAAAGAGACAGAAGAGGAGGAAGCAGGCTCCCTGCTAAGGAGAGAGCCTGATGTGGGGTTCGATCCCAGGACCCTGGGATCATGACCGGAGCCGAAGGCAGAGGCTTTAACCCACTGAGCCACCCAGGCGCCCCCATATTCTTCAGTCTTTAGCCCATGAGCACTCTTTCTCTACAGAGCAGCTGCTTCCAGACCCAGCCACAGATTTGACTCACAACACTGTCCCGGGGAGGAGAAAAGGTGCCCAGCCCACTGCTTCCCAATGAGCAGAGCCAGTAACCGGTAGGTCCCTGGGGTGCCGAGACCCCCGGGGGGGGCAAGGACTTACACCAGAGTTCATAGTAGTAGTTGCAGCACTGAGACTGTCCACAGCAGTGTCCTGTGTCACAAATGTAGCTCTGATTGTTGGTACCCACACAGGTTTCCTTATCCTTAAAAAAAAAAATAAAATAAAAAATTAGCATATGAAACTATGGCTTTTATTATGTTTTTTAAAGATTTTCTTTATTTATTTGAGAGAGAGAGAGAGTGAGAGAGAGCATGAGAGGGGAGAAGGTCAGAGGGAGAAGCAGACTCCCCGTGGAGCTGGGAGCCTGACGCGGGACTTGATCCCGGAACTCAAGGATCGTGACCTAGGCCAAAGGCAGTCGCTTAACCAACTGAGCCACCCAGGCATCCGAAACTATAGCTTTTAAATGCCACTTTTCCTCTCATCCCTTTCTTGCTGGTTATCTGCCCACCCTCCACCAAGACGGTCCAAACCAATGTTCATTCTGTGAAGGAAAAAAAAAAAATTGAACCCAAAACAACAGCAGATTGAAGAAAACAACAAAGATTCATTAAAGGGGGAAGAGGATCCCGCACACAAAGACTGGTAAGAGCAAAGTTTTCCTCAGACAGGAAACAGATGCCTCACTTTCTTTACGTCCAAGCAGAAACACTCCATGTCCCGGTGTTCCACTCAGCCGGTAAAAAGATGCTGGTTCCCGTGTAATTAGCAGTACGTTTTAAATAAAACCAGCTTTTCTGTGAAAGTTCCTGGAACAATTAACGCAGTACATATTCTAGGATTAGCATCGAGTCAGTCTTCCTGTCCTTCAAAACACACACTGTTCAAGGTGAATTACAGTGTGATTCCAAAGAGGGCCGAGATAACTTGCCAGCAAAATTCTTCACTCTTAAGAAAAGGGGCGACCTGCCCAGCTGACCTCATCTGATCTCAATTTGCTAGATAATTTTTTGTTTATCAAATGATCTTGACTGGACCTAGGATTCACACTGTGCTTTGTCAGGGACAGTTCCAGAACGGGCACTGCTGAGTAACCGCCCCCACAGTACGCCAAATTCTATTCACACCCCTGGGGGGATGGGAGTGGGGGTGAAGACGTCTTTTGACATTTCACATTTAAGAAATGAGATATCCCACCGGCCAACCTGAACTTCAGCCCCACGTGTACTGTGGACCCCACCACGTACGCTGAGACCTCTAAGTCAAGAGCTCCATCTGGCTTTCAAAGTTTATTCTAAGCCAAAAACACTAATCCGTTTACTGGACATGCTGTCTTTGAGCCAAGCACTGTGTTGGGGTATGTGGGATACAAAGATGAATAAGTCATTGTCCACACCCTCAAGAAGCCTGGGGTTAAGAAAGGGGGGGAGAGCAAAAACAAAAAAACCCTGCTCAGCAGAGAAACTAAAACCACAGCATTGTATTTGCTGCTACTCAGGCTGACCCTGCCCACAGCGTACATCCGGGCGGACGCCTGCCAGTGGAAACTTAAGTCACACGATCAGTTCCTCTTCTCCGGGCCTTGCTTTATACTCCACTGTCTACTTGGCCAAGGGTATAAACAAGGCACTCCAGCAACCAGCTACAGGGCTAAGGGTGGGCAGAGACCGTTCAGGTGCCTGACGTCACAGAGAGAGGACGAGGTAGAGGGCACAGCTAAAGACCAGATCCTGGGCTCAGTGCCCATCTCCGCCACACAGGCTCAGGTGTTTCCTGGTCTTTAAGGGCCTTATGGCCTTGTGGAAAGGGATTTGGGAAGAAGGAAACACGGGAAAGGCATCTGAAAGCTCTGACAGTGAGGGTTTCACAACACTACCAACAGAGTTCTTCCCATCTCTGCCTTCCCACAACCACCATAAGCACGAAGGAGGTGCCGGGCAGTGGGGGGACGGGGTGCGGGAGAGGGGAGGCCTGCCCCGTCGGAGGTCTCCTCTGAGGCCTGGTGCACATGAAGAAAGCAGATCTGGGCTCAATTCTTTTGCTAGAACACACCCTCCCTGACTTCAGAGCAAAACACTGCTTTCATAAGGACATCAAAAAGTTTCTCCCAAGTTTACCAGGCCCTGAAATGCCATTCTTCTGGCACTGACTCTCAAGAGCACAGTTCAAAGTGTCCACACAGTTTCTAAAAGGGGCTGTGCTGCCTACACTCCAACACATGAAAGAATCCAGTGACACTTCTGCCTCGGGGAAATTCGCCAGATGAGGTCCAGGCTCTGAACACAGGGCAGCCAACTGGTCCTAAGTGAAGCGTGGAATGGAACGCGTTTGAAATCTAAACAAGTGGTATCCTCATGACCCTACTGGTGTCAGCTTTTCTCTCAGCTTTTCCATCCCCCAGCACAGAAGTCTGGTCTACACAGGATCCTGCTCATTTTCCCTTCTCTGCCTCCACTTCCCTAGGGAGAGCAGAACTCCAGAAGCATTATTTAATCCAGTGTTCCTCAAACACTTGTACCCAGTAAATCTCGACCCCTGTTCTTCTTCCCCTGCCCCTCGACAGAGTACGCAGACTGCCTGGGATGGTCTTGGTGATGGAAACTGTTGTTCTCTGTCACAGGAGGAAGGGAAAGCAGGTGGGCGGTTAAGGAAGACAAAATGTGGACTCATGCACCTTTAGCAAGGAAGGAATGTTGGAGCAGGAGGGTAAGTGAGACTTGAGTCCCAAGGTAAGTTCCTCCAGAAATCTGCTTGTAGGAAAGGAAAATCCCGGAACCTACGGTTTGGCCCTGGATCTCTTGGGTTTGGTCTTCACTACAGAGAACTAGGACCGGGACACAAGGGCTCTAGGAGGAGTTAAAGATGCTTTCTCATGTCTCCTTCAACCCTAAGTCTTTATTAGCCTACCCACCTCCCATCCCCTCCCACAGCAGCCTTGGGTCAACATAAGGGCTCCTGAAATCTGTCTTCTCTCACTCAAAGAGACAGCAAAGAACAGCGGTGTGCAAATGTTGCCTGGTGCTCTTCCAGCCTTCTCTGTAGGGAAGGAGCTAATCCTGGATCACCCAGAGGACTCTCAAAGACCTCCAAGACCAATGTGAGGAAGACACAGGTTAAGAGTCAGGTTAAGAGTCTGGGTCTAAAGCACAGGTCTCACACTGGGCTTATTGAATTAACTGTGTGACCTTGGGTAAGTTACTTAACTTCTCTGAGCTCTTAATATCAATGTTATACTGTGAACCATTATTGCTGGGCATGAAAGACCATCTAAACGGCCCTTTGCATTCACTTAGAACTCTTTCGGAAGAGTCAAGTTCACTGACAATGTGGGTTGCTCCAGACACATGAAGAACAGAAAAAGCAACCAGAGAGAATGGAATGGATAAAGTTCAAATATGAAATATTCTCAGCACCTTTTAGGAAGGTGATTATTCTCTGCCTTGCCTCCAAGCACCTTCGAGCACTTTACACACATTACGTTGTTCAGCCCGTCTTGAAGAGGGGACAGTAATTATCCCTCCCACACCCTCTCCAGAAAGTGAACCAAAGAATGAATTGCACTCTCCCTATGGGCAGGAGCTCTGTCTCCTCATCTATCTTCCCCACTCCCAATACAAGCACAGGGCTTGGTGCGTAATGGTTTGCTTAACAAAACATTGGCTATTCAAGCTGGGGGTGAATAATGCAGCTAATGTGGACTGAGCACGTTATGCCAGGCACTGTTCTAAATGCCTTACATCTATTCCTTAATCTTAACTTGAAGGCAACTTATGAAGTGGACAGTCTCAGGGAATAGAGGCCAAGAGAGGCTGAGTAACTTGCCTAAGATCACACAGCTAGGGAGTGTTTCGAGCTCTTTCATTTGGCCCCAGAGCCTGGGCTTTTACTAGTAAGCTTTAGCTGCCTTGGTTGAGGTTACACTCCTTCAGCTGCTTTTTATACTTCAGTTGCAGTAAATTCCCTGAAAACCCCAAACCAAACAAAACCAACATTTTGTCTTTGAAGGAAAAGATAAGGACCCCGCCCTTGTGGAGCTCTTTGACTTTTTGGGAAGAGTAGCCTTCATCTCCTACTTGGCAGAGAGGACGGGCGATGTGCTCAGGGCTCCTTCCTTTTTTGCTCGAAAGGTGGTTTTTTCGTATACTAATTTTTTGAAAAGCAGAATGCTGTTTCATCCCAGTGTGGAATGTGAGACCTGCAATCCTTCCTTCAACATTTACTGAGTACCTGCCCTGTACCAGCAGTGAACCAGATGGGGAACACAATGGGCAAACGGCCACAACGGTCATGATCTCTGTCCTCATGGAGCTTGCAGTCTACTGAAAGACTGATAAAGTAATCACACAGATAAAACTACAACTAGAAAGAGAAAAACACACGATTTGGTAAGAGTTTACAAGAGAGAAGACCCAGAAGTTAGTCATGAAGTTGGTCCAGACAGCTTCTGTGACAAAGGTAAGCTTGAACAGAGATCACCAACATGGTTGGAAAATTAGTAACCAGGGAAGAGGGATGGGGAGAACATTCTAGGTAAAGGACATGGCACAAGCAGAGCCCTTTAACTAAAAGGACATTGCTGAAGAAGTAGGTAGGGAAGTTAGGTAAGTGGGGACCCATCTGTGCAGGGAGGTGATGAGATCAGATCTGCATTTTAAGGAGAGTTCCTTCCCAGCAATGTTTTCATTTGCATAAAACCGCACAGCCAAAAAATTGTTAGAAATGTAGAACTTGTCATAAAGAAACCGTGTGAAACACATACTCTCATGCTGAGGTCTCTCATCTCAAGAATGACGGTGGCAATGACCATCAGCTGCCTCGTTTGTTATAGCTATGCGTCTTCAGCCCAGATTTCCCAGCGACTGGTTCCGAGATACAGGGCACACATGGTCCTCAAACAAAAGGCACAGGCACAAAGGAGAACCAAGCAAGATCAACACTGAACTAGAAAGAACATTTTTACAACAGAAAAGGATGAAGAGTATACCTTTTGCACATATGTAAAAAATCATCTCATCTCTTTTGTGGCAGCATCCACTGTGGGACCAACAGCATTTTCCTCAACAGTTTCCATCTCTTAGAGTTGCTATTCTCAGCTAAGTCACTGTAAAGGTCAATTAATCAGTATAAGAACTTTCCAAGCACCAGCATAAAGAGAGACACTGGGCAGTAATGGTTCCCCAAGGATGGTTTTAATTTGCCAAT